AAACGCAAACATTTTAAAATAAACCTTGATGAGACATCCTTAAACTAGTTGACTAAGCTATGACCTTAGAAATTTTAAGATCTTTTTCTCATGCTTGATAAATTGTAACAAACCTACATAGACCTCCATCACTTGCTTAGGCTTTCTCGCCTTTAAAAAAAATCTCCATTCCTGTATCCTTCTAACACCTTTTACCTTACCATTCTCTTTCTTAATAACCATAAGACATAATATCATTAACAAATAAATTTTCCATCTGTTGTGAGAATTTTTTTCTGGGGATACTAAGCAATGTTTATCCCCTTCTAAGGTTTTAGTGTCAAACCAATGTTTGATTACATTAAAGTTTTCTTGGGGAACCAATGAATTTACTGAGCTTACTTACAGAGATGACTGAAGGGTTCCTGAGATATATGAGTGACCTGAGCATATGTACACTGGAAAGCCTTAACCCAGAACGGATCAAGCATTTTCTTCCTAGCCTTCCCCGGATAATATACTTTAGTCCACCCCAAACCCAGGAGACCATGTGATTAGGACCAAATTACATACAGTTAGCTGGGAAGAGCTGCTGGATACTCAGGTGAGGGTCCAATTACCTGATTACCCCTTCTCCTTTAATTAAAGAATATGATACTCAAGTCAACAAATCCAATTGTGATGATCTTTTGCTAGTGGACACAGCTGAAGTCATGAAGGTGGTAGTTGTTTGACTCAGAAGAAAGTAGTGTGTAGCATCATCTTATTAAAAGAACATGGAATCTAAATTATATACATAAGATAATGTAATAAGCTAATATTACCTGTGTACACACTGTGTTTTATAAGTTTCCAGGTAAACCTTATAGAAAACACAAGACAGTTAAAAATCTTTTACCTTATGTAGTTTAGAGAGTGGTCTACCAAAACCTTACTTTAGGTGGAAAGAAGCAATTGGTACATAGTTAAACATTATCGAACTGATGTTTACAACCTCCAGCATAATCAATTCAGGAAAACTGTGCTCTAACCCTGTTCAGACTTTAATAAACCCTTTTAATAACAAATTATAAACAAATTTACCAAGCAATTAGTATTTTACCTCACATATATAGAGATGAACAATCATCTTAAATATATTATTATATTGTATAAACTTTGAGATGTCCTTGTAAGCTTTGAAGTACGTTTAAACAACAGAGGGTATTACTGTCTATAGTA